CAAGAATGTGAAATGACATCAACATGTAGTTTTCCAAACAATAATAGACTTGGATTCACTGCAAGTTCATGTAAAAACAAAATCAAATTTATGACCACTAGCTCTTTTTACTTTATGGTGTAGTTTGCCAATGCTTCTGCGGAGGTCTATGAACACGACACCAATCTGATTTAAATCGAATTCTCTGTTTATCCGTAGTTAAGATGTAGTCGATTGTGATATGATGGTGCAAACAAACCATGCAACAAATGCTAAGCCATAAAAAGTCATAATTATGTGGTTAGTTACTTAAGTTAGTCTTTCATGTGTCACATCACTAGCTAATTAATCCGGATTTAAGAGAATCGTTTTGGGAAAATTTTCAAAACTGCCAAAATTTATCAAAATCTTACAAAGAATGCCACAATGGCAGTTTTCTTTCAAGAAATGCCACAAACTCGACTTGAAGAGACGAAAATACCCTTGGCCAGACGGTTCGGACTACCCATGCGCAAGTAGAAGGCGCTTGACGGTTTTTGAATTAAACCGCTTGTCCCTTCGGTTATTAACTTCGTTCTCTCTCTTTTGATTGAACTTTTTTTCATGTTTTCATTGGGAACAATGAAAGGAAAGAATCTACAAACCTATACGCTAAAGTGGTGGCAATGAAGAAACCACAATTGATTGGAGTATCAGAGTGTCTTGGGACGGCATTCCTCGAATACGCAGAGTGAGCATTACGCATGCATAACTTCTTCGGAATTGTTCCACAAACATAATCTTATATCTATTTTTCTTCAAATCGAGCCTCCGGTAATGTCTGAATCTACTGTTTGTGATGATTTTTGATTATTTTGGTTGAAACTAGTTTTTACGGGAATAGTTGAAACGGTGGACATGTTATATTTACGAGTTTTAACAGAAATATTGTCCACATTGTTTATTGGTCCTCTTTTGGGCTTTACTTAATTGTCCATGTATTTAACCTACTTACCTGTTAGGGGTTGTCTGCCAGGATTGCAGAAAATGTCTTCATCAAAGAAGGAGACCAAATCCCAGAAAAGGAAGAGAACCACCGAGGACACAAATCGTGTCGACCAAACTCTACTACCGCAACGGTTATACGCGACGGATCGGTATCCACCATATGGGAGAATCAATTCGTATTCTAAACCGGAATATTTGCTAGATCTGGTCGAAGCCCTGGAAGGTACAGATGAATACTGTTGGGGTCGGATTTCACCCGCTCAACGTTGAAGTCCAAAGTTATGCAAGCCCAGCGCATAGACACGAAATCGCATTAACGTACAGATGTTATATGATTCTTCCAAGTCATTTTCTAACTAGAAGATGAAGTCGTTCTCCTTTCCTAAGTCTTTTCCGTCCAAGAAGGGAGCCTTCTGAGTCCTCTCTACTCGCAGCAGAAGTCAGGAGTGCAGAACCGGCGCCGTGCAGCAAAGGGTATTTGAGGTCATTGGTTTATAGTGGTGATCATGACATGATGGTTCCTTATATTGGAACACAAGCTTGGATTAAATCTCTCAATTACTCAATCATTGATAAATGGAGACCATGGTTTGTTAACAATCAAGTTATGGGATATACAAGGACTTACGCCAACAATATGACATTTGCTACAATCAAAGCAAGTCTCTTTTTCTTTGGTTTCCCATCAAATGTTTGTTAAGATTTTTTCAATGGTTACATTTTCACAATTGTAAAAGGTTTGGTTTAATTTTGCAGGGAGGAGGGCACACTGCCGAGTATAAACCAGACGAGAGCTTCACAATGTTTCAAAGGTGGATACGTGGCCAACCTCTGTGACATAGTGAGCTCCACCGAATCCAGAGATATTACTATTGACACTATCACAAGTTCCAAAAGTAAAAATTCAAAACTACAACTTCCAAAACGTTGTCGTTTTCAAAAGCCGGCGTTGTTAAACGCTATTATCAGCGCCGTTGACTAACGAGAAAATGTGTCTTGATAGAGTCAACAATTTCTTGGACCATACGAGAAACGGTGTCGCATCTCCTCTGATTAACACGAAGGATTTTTACGTTTCGCTTGCTTTAATTTTTTCACTAAAGGAAGAACATCAATTCATTATGGAGAAAATCAGTTTCAGATTCTACTTGTTCTATAATTTTTTTAATATATATAACCACATAAATAAGTAATAACCAATCATGTCATCTTTCTTCTTGCTAACAACTTAAGTTTACTGTTCTACCATAAGACTTAGGGTTTAAATGGTATCGGCTGAATTTGGTTGAATTACGGAATTTGGTGGAATCATTTAAAACCTAAATGGTAACGGCTGATCGTAGATGATTTTGAAAAAGATTAACTAAATAATTTTTTTTTAAAATAGTTAAAACAATTTATTTTAAAAAAACAAAATTAGATAAATAAACTAGGGGCAATTGCAAAATTGCCACTTTTTGTGTGCACATTTGCAAAAATGCCACTTAAAAATGTCCACTTGCAAAATAACACTAATTATAGATTTATAAAACATATATCTTAAAATTCTAAATCCTAAAAAATGTTGGGGCAATTGCAAAAATACCATTTTTTGTGAGCACATTTGCAATAATGCCACTTAGGGGAGTCCATTTGCAAAAATGTCACTAATTATAGATTTATAAAGCATATATCTTAAAATTCTAAATACTAAAAAATGTTTTGATCCCTAAAACCCCTAAACACTCAAAACTAAACCTTAATACAACATAATTAAATCAAATATAAATTATATAATGAAAAAATAATTTTGATAAAATGACACTTTTGCAAAGATTTTGAAAATGTGGTATTTTTGAAAAGTGACACTTGGAAAGTGGCATTTTTTTAAATTTCTCAAAAAGGTTTTGACCCTTAAAACCCC